ACAACTTTCACTTATAAGGGAAACCAGGGGAGGAGCAATTACATATCGGCAACTATGAATTGCGGTTACTATAGCAACTTAGCTGACAGGCTAGCACTGGCGGGAAAAACTGGGGGAACGAAACCATTTTACACATAATAGGGGAGAACAATACATAAATTGGGGGAATAACACAAGAAACTTAACAACACACTACAACATGAAGAATGTGTTTATAATACAACAGTAAGGAGAAAACCACTTTCCTCAAAATACAGGAAAGATACATTCAAGTTGAGATCATTACTGATACTAGAAATGTCCTTTGTAACACAGAAATTAGATGCAACACCTGAAAGGTCACTAAATATGAATGGTGATGCTGTCCAGGTAGAAGCAGGAGAGCAGAAAACAGGAAAAGATGGATTCATCTAGTCAGCTGACCCGAAATAAGCATATTTGGCAGATAGACATACTTAGTATTTTAATGGGAATGTGACAGAAGTACTTAAGGCGATCACTAGAATAGCTGTGTCTCAGCATCAGATTCCTATCAATATAATGAAATGATAAAATTGTTCAAGGTGAAGTTTAAGGCTGAAGGTCCAGATCACTGACTTTAAATCCACATTGAAAATCAGAACTGGCTATAAATCAGGATTATAAAACTCATACTAAAGAGGGACTATCAGAAACATATCAAAGATGGTTAACACCTTAGAGTCAAAGTGGGTCAGATTCCAGCCTCAGAGTTAAACTACTCTTTTACAAAACCTATTACTTGCAGTACTTGGCTAGACTCAAAGTCAAATTACTCTTTTTCTGAAATCTAACTCCTGTAATGTGCAGCACATCAGGTAAAAAATCCCAAAACCCCCAAACCCCAGGTATCATTGTGGGATACCACAGGCAGCACAGGGAAGGGACTGCAGCTATTATCACTAGCAGATATAGCACCCAGAGCTCTGCAATTAATCTGACATCAGCAGTTTAAGTTGCCAAGAAGCCACGAAGGAAAACAGAATGAAGTGGAATAGCCAGCAATATTCTGTTTATACTGTGGATTAAATTTTTGAATAAACACATTGGAAGTGCCTGTGCCTTTTGGAAAGCTGACTTGAAGAATGAACAATGTAATCTTACAAGAAAAATAATGCAAAAATATGGTGCTCAGACACCTTGATGAGTAGGATTTTTCCCTAGTCACTCAAGTTTTAGGAAAAGCAACAGCAGACTGCAGCTACACAGTGGAAAAGTCCAAGTATACCAAAGAAAGGCAAGACCCAGCAATAGGAATGAGGCTTGGAGTTAGATTACTAGCTGTTGTTAGTCAAGCTGTTTACCTTACTCTTGGTTTGCTCACAGATCCAAAGACAGCTAGTTGATTGCTAGTCCCAGTAAACTGCAAGGAAGGGAGCACAGGTTTTCTCACTTCTGAGGATGTTGCCATCATTGTTAGTGGCTCAGTCCTCCTTTTAGCATTTGTCTTTCTGGTCACTGCTGACACATGCCCAGGCAGAACCCTGCCTAGATATCCCCAGAACACCCATATACTGTACCTACTAGCCAATATTAATGCCAGCTGTTCCAATATCTGCATCTCCCACCAGACACTTGCTGCATTCTGCGTTCGGTCACTCACTTTTTTTTCCTCCGTCCGTATTTTAAGTAGCAGCAAATATAATGCTGCACTTGTATTAATTAAGCCCAGAGAAGGAAAGCACCCCAGTAACTCCAGTCCCAATGGCTGGGTTTCCCTCAGTGTGGCTACCCCTCCACCCAAGCACAGCCACAGTGCATTCATTCTGCGCTCTGGTGCCCGCCGGGCACTGCGGCTCCTTAATTGCCTCACACGCACAGACAGTGTGCACTCACACTCCAAATGCTACCAGCCTCATTAGTTCCTTTCACACTTCATTTCTCCATGTGAGGCATTCAAAGGTTTCACAATCTGCATATCTTCCTTTTAAGATGTCACAGAGCTCTTCTGCAGACCTTTGAGGGATTAACGAGCAAGATGTCTCTATTTTATTAATTAGCTGCTTCTCAGCCATACTCCACAGCTCTCTACTAGTTCAGCTGCTCAGCTACAGTAATTAGACAATCCACTTTTCAGTCTTCCACAACACTGTCTTAGAGAGAATGTCTGACTGTTCCTAAGACTGTGGTATTTTCTGGCAATTATCAGACATCTCCTGAATGACTAATAGAAAAATCCTGCTTTCTGTATTATTCACTGCAGCATTACAGCTCCCCATTCTAGGCTTTGTCTCACGCACTCTGCTGTCAATATGTGCCATCACTGGCACTCGAACGTCCAGATGTTATCTGAAAGATTCTTTATTTGCATCATTCAGACATAACAGTCATAAAGAAGGACTCCCTCAGAATCAGAGTTGCAAGTAACAAGGGTAGTGTTACTTCTTATGCTGCAATATTTCTCAAACAGGAACAAAATCAAGCCAACAAACACATGCTGTCTCTGCTTCATGCAATAGAAGGCTTGCTTGGATGTGTGAGCCCACAATTTTTTTTAGCTACCAGTAGCTCATGTACTCACAGTACCTGGCATGCAGAAATCTAAAGAATATGAAATGGCCTTTTTTTTAACATGCCAGTCAATCATAATTAATATTGCGCAGTGAATACAACTACAAGGGAAAAAAAATCTCTTAAATCACACTTAGTTACTTTACTTACTAAAATATTTCCTTGAAATACCAAATAGTGTCCATGGTGAATAGCCCTGCAGAGGCCACAGCAGTCCTACTGCTTGCTATCTTGTCTATTTATCTACATTACCAAGCTACTCATTTAGGCCAAGCTGTGGCTTCTTTCATCTCTCCGAAACCAAGCACACAGACCTAAGAGGACATGCTGTTTCTAAGTGGAACAAACGCACCTTCAACTTAACACTTGAAAGCAGTACAACAAAATGTTTTTCTCTTCCCAAGAAGCAATGAGAAGCAATGCCAGGGTCTGACAGACTGTTACGAGCTGTATAAGCCATGCACACACTGCTGAGTAAGTCCCTCCCAGAGCGTGCCAGCAGCATGGATATGTAGACACAGCTGGCCAGATCTGAAGCTCCTGATGCCTGTCTCCAAATATGCCTCCAAAGGCTGTAGATCAAGAAAGGCCTGGGATTTGCACTCACCAGGACCCTTGGTCTTGTCTGGATGAATGAGGTGCCAGGGACTAAGGTCCACCACAGACAACATCTATTCCTGTAGCACCCAGGGTTTGTATCAGTCCCTGCCACTGTATCCCAGATAAGAAGTGGGCTAACCCTTTAAGACAGAGTGACTTCTTCCTTCCATGTGATCAGTAAGGCATTGCAGAATGATGATTATATTATGCCCTCCCTAGTAGAGAAGAACTAACAAATCTCCCTAGCTATCAGTGTAAGAGAACCTATTGAATTGTTTGTTCAAGGGAAGTTGAACCACTTCAACATTATCTTGGTTTTCTAACATGCAGCCTGTGGAATTGCCCCTTATGTTGCCTAACACACAGAGACACATGCATGCAAACAGCGTGTTCTGTGCAGTTAATGCACTTAATTAGACAACTGTGAACATGAAGTTTGGATTTTTTCAGCATGGATGTAAGAGGGAAATGAACATGGAATGTCAGTTATCCACAGAGCTTCCATAATTCAGAGGAAAGGCTTTACAGACATGTCAGTCAGAAATAGTGCCAGTGTGCCAAACATCTGTTTGAAGTATTTTATATGAATTAAACTGTTCCACAAGAAAGCAGTGACTTCACTGTCCTCACTTCTTAGTTTGGTGGAGTGATGGACTTTGAACTATCCTACACTTAAAACCCCACTTCAATCACTCATGAGCTGATGTGTTTGCTTAGACAGATGATGAATAAATTTTCCACTACCAGCTGTCCAAGTTCACTGTTAGTTAGCACTTAGCTCACTAAGGTTAACACACCTTTCAAGATAATTGCAAGAAACAAATGCCAACAAATATAAAACGTGCAATTACTTCAATTATATCTGTCTCTTATTTTGTTTCAGCTATAGAATTCTCCACCTGGGAATTCTCCCCAGCCCTTAGTCCCTGGAGCCAATATTATCAGGGCAAATGGTACACACTCAAATCCTGAGCACTCAGGTCTATGAAAATATGTAACACTCTTATCCCAAGTAACTGAATGGTTAAACACGAGGAACTAAGATTCTGCCAACTACTGTCAGCAGATATTATGACAGCAAGAGAGAGAGCTCCCTTGGAAAACAGCTCCATAAAATGGAATGAACTCTGCTGAAAACTTAAGACCACTGTAAACCTCCCTGCTTTTCCTCTTCAGATGCCAAGTGCCTTGCTCTGACTGCCTGCAGTATAAACAGACAGCTATTTAGAAACTTGTATAAAATAAAATTCCAATGCAAACACTCCAGCAATTCTCTGTGAGCCGTTCATCATCCGGTGGGAGGCTGCAAGACCACGGCTGGCAGGTGTCAGACGCGCTCGGCAGTGAAAAGCCCTGAAGTGGTGCAGAAAGCAGGAAGGCTCAGATCCAGAAGAAGCTCTTTGTGTACTTCAGTCTTTTCTCAGATATCCAAAAAGCCATATAAAGCATGAGTCAAGCATATAGAGAAACATAAACCTACAGTTGGCATGCTTCATTTAGGAATATATGGATGTTGGCAGTTTTCCTTCTCCTCACTTAGGGTCCAGAGCCAGCCAATCTGTTATACACTTTCCTAGCTTTGATGGACACAAACCTTCAGGACAGATTTAAAGTTAAGCCTGCACTTTATTGCCCTTAGGAAATGTACCTAATCATGAAACAAGGCCTGACAATGAACTTACAATGAAGTCCATAAACTTCATGCAATAAAAAAAGGTAGTGAAATGTTCTGAAAGTGAATTAAAAATCCAGCCAGCTCAAGATCACATCTCATCAAGCACAAAGCCAGTCATTTTTCAGGCTAAGTACTTCTTCTGGCACTAGAGCTCCACTCTCAGGTGAATAAAGGTCCTGGCTATGGCAAGCATTAAAAAAGCCCCCAAAATCCAAACTAAACTTATTTATTATTATTCAGAGTTACAATCTTGGTTGACAAGCACTCAGTTCTGTCATGCTGGCTGTTTCCACAGAAGTGAAAGCATGTTGTGCCTTGATGACACAGCTCTTCCCCTGTCCATTTTATCAAGCAGCGAAGAGAAAATAATTGAAAAAGGCCTCTGGCCTTCTGGGTGTGTTTCACACTGTGAGTGTCAATGCAAGGCTGAAGCTTCATGCCCCCAGGCATGCATGGCACTCACCCTGCTGCCAGGGCTCTCAGGACATGGATAAACTCTTCATATTGCTTAAATCAGAAACCAAACGTTCCTCTTCACAACACACATTAAGAAACCACGCACCACGTGATTTCTGCAAAACTTTACACTGCTGATCAGAAACTTCTAAGACAGTCAGACACAGCATATACTTCAGATTCTTCCTAGATCCTCAAACATATGAATGCTACCATGAGCCCTTCACCACTGAGGTTATCATTGTGGTATGCCATGAAAAAATCAAACCTCAAGAGAGCTTCAGTCTAAGGTCAGGAGCCAGAATCAGGTGTAAGGAGGTGAGATTCAGGATTAAATGTCCCAGCTGTGTCCTGTTGAAGGATGATGGGATGATCTGTGCAAATGTTAAATCAAACATAGTTCTTACCTAAGTACTTGAGCTTCAGAAAACATTTGTTAATGGTCTTGCAGCTCCTTTGCCTTTCACACTTCATTATGCCCAACTCAGAATGCTTCATGCACTGCAGAACAGCTGACCTTTTTCCTTCCTGAACATACTGGAGTTACTAATATGCAGCAGCTCTTTCTTTCTGAGATGTAAATGCATTCATGACTGGCCAGAACACATAGAAGCAAGAGGACTTGGGGTTTTCCTAAATCTCAGATTGCAATAAAAGAAAGGAATTTCATAAATTAACTTTCCCAGTATCTTACAATGAGTTTAATGCTGTGTTCTGGAAGGTTTATACTCCTGAATCTGATCAAAAGCAGCGCTGGGAGGTGGTGGTACCCTTTTTGAACACACAGCACAACAAAGGAATCCAGATCAGAACTTCTAATCATTGTGATGTTCCAGTGTCATTCTGTAATAGTTACTACAGTGTCAGAACTCTACTCCTGACAGATCTCATTTGCAGGCAAAACTTACTGTTGAAAACACACAAGCTGGTAAAAGGAGAAAAATCACTGGCAACTGTTTACCAAGTTAGCTGAAACGTTTGCTTTCAAATTAGGATTTAAACATTCTGACAATTCAGTAACAGCCAGGAGACAGGTGATAAGGGAGGGTTTCATGAAGTGACCCTTTCCAGCCTGAATGCAGCTTCATATGTAGCAACTGTTACTGGGCAAGGGCTAGTTTCACCCACAAAGAACTAACTTTCCCTGGTAATAGTTAAGCAGCATCACAGTAGGCTTTGGCCCTTTAATTGTTTAATTGCTTTTTGTTGTTGAATACCAACAAGTATCATTCACATCATATTGTCTAAGGAGATCTCAGGAACAGTACAACAGCTACAGTTTTGGATATTTTAATCATAGCATTTTGTTGCTGTTCTTGGTAAAAGATGTGAAAGTCAGCAGACAGCAAGGAACTGGCAAAAACTGCAGAGTCTCTGCCCAGGAAATAATTTTGACTCATAGTTTTTGTCAAGCCAGTTATCATCCCTTATAATTATCACTATACTGAAGACTGAAATTGAAAAACACAGAACAAAAGAAACTACACTGGTGCTGTGTGTTTGTTCTCCAGACACATAAGGGGTGTCACGCTTTCAGAACTGAGCAAACAAATTTTGGTATCAAAATAGTTTTGTTTGGGTGGGGTTTTTTCCCTTTAATCTCTATACACACATTGTTCTTATGATAAAAATCAGGAACTTAAAACAGCAAATGCTTGTGCTAATACTGTAACATTTATTAACCTACCACATACCTCTCTGTATTTGCAATGCTCTATCTCTTTTTTATATATAAATTGTGTATCATTAAGAGTTATCTGTACAACAGCTGCGCAAGAAATAAAAGGACAAATTTAAATATCCATTCTTCCTTCAACCTCACAGTTCTGAAGTAACCTGGTCAACAGGATTTGAGTCCAGCCAACATTCAAGAGGCCCTATCTCAGACAGCTTTTGTAGGAAGTGTCACTGGTACATGCCTACACCCTATCCAGGTCAGTCTATTATCTTTTATGCCTCCAGTCCTGCTTTCTTTTCCCCAGTAACTGCCAGATCCATATTCACTTCACAAAACATAACTGAAAATCTTGAGAACACAAATCTTGCATTATTCTCAAATAAGAGAATGGGCTTTCAATTCATCTGCAGACATCTGCAGAGGATCAAAGCATGTATTCCAGAAGCCTATAGAAAAACAGATAAAAATACTTACTTGTAGCACTGATTTGGGAATAATGTAGTCAAATTCATGCATACATATGAGACCTGTGCATTTTAATGAACTGAAAAGAGCTAAAATCCTGTGCAATCATTTTTAAAAGAACAGATTTATTCTAAAGATCCTTCACAAACATTAAAAAAATATTCTGCAGGATATGCACAGCAGGTGAGAGTCCTGAATATTTGATCATTTCACCGGGAAATTCCTTCACAAATGAAAAGGCAAGTAGTTTCCTCACCTGCAAACTTAGATTTGCCCAGGAACCTTGGTGTTGTAGGGCAGCAGGCTCCCAGAGAGGAATCTGCTTTTAAAGGCTGCAAAAACACCCCTTTTACAAAAAAAAAAAAAAAAAAAAAAGCTTTATTATAGGTAGAACTCACTTCCCTTCTCAGGAAGGAGGCAGTTTAACCAAAACCCCGCTGAATTTAAGATACAGTTAACTATAAAACAAGAACAGGAGTAAACTCCCAGATTCCAAGTGAAGGACTTAGAGAGAGACACAGAGAAATCCCATGGTGCAACTGCTGTCCCTCAAGGCAGCCAGTCACCTTTTTTATCTTCAGTACCAAAATCTTTTGATAAAATCCAAAGCAACTCCCAGAATGGTAAAGCAGGAGCTCCTGCATGTTCTTTCTCTGGCCTGACAGAAGCCACCTTGGTTGGAAGAGGGTCGACAAAGAGGTCTCTCAGCTCCCTGGGAGCTCTTGTTGGGTCTGCAAATACAAGAAACTGAATGGAAAGCTGCAATATAACAACAGTAAGGATCCATGGTAGAAACAGGTCATGGCCTGGAATGTGTCCTCCCACCACATGTTGCGGAGTCTGGTTAATGGGACACTGTCTGGAGACGTCAGGCACCCAGAAGCAGCTGGGAAGCTCATGGGAGAAGGACTCAGTGCTGGAACAGGAAGACACCTGCCTGTACAGTTTGCTAAAGGCTCACAAGGGACCACCACACTTTCTAGGAAACACCACAATGCCCACCCACCCTCCAGCCACACTCACAAAAGTACCTGGGGATTTTAGACTTTCCACTCCTTATTCTGAGTTCTGCAATAAATTAACATCATATAATGTACTTTGCAATATAGAGAAATGAAATTTTTGAATGCAGTTGAAATAAAACCAGTCATGCTGACTAGTCAAGAATATTACACATGCTCTGGCCAAGCTGGAGCTGAAGCTATCAACTGGCAGACTGAAGCCAGCAAGCTCACTGATCTGTCATTTGGTGCCAAACAGGAAAGATAATGGCTGAGTTCCTCCTACCTTTCTCTTAACAGATGTACTTGTTTCACTTTTTCTCTATTTGGCTACTGATTTACCTTTTTTTATTTGTAAGGAAGAGTACATTAAGCATCCAAGGATTATTTTGGCCAGTATTTTACAGTTTCCTTTATGAAATAAAACTGGTGAGCAATTGTTTTATCAGATCTTCCTTGCCTTAAAATTAATTTACTTGCACCACTGTTATCAACAGATCAAGATATTTACTTTTCTTCTCAAAGACAATATATTATTCATTCTGTTTAAAAAAAAGAAAGATAAACCCCTGACTTCATTTAATCAGAGCAAAGAGAAAGCTGAACTATCATGTCAGTTTCTAAGGCATTTACCAGCACTGATTTGGGGGTTCAAAGTGATTTCATGTCTGGTGACAAAGATCTCTGTGGAAATCACAGAGGGAAATTCTTATAATCACTTTTATTTTCAGATGTATCTTTACTGCAGTTTATTTGTACAGGCACAACATTTTATAAAGGATTGAATTGGATTAAATAGCAAGCAAGACATTTCTCCATAATTTCAAGGGAAAGAGAAAAAAACAGTAGTTGCCTGGAAAAGTTCTGTGAGTGATTTACTGATTTCCTTTCTTACATTCTCAATCCCACTTGGAAGTTTTCCTCCTCATGTATCTGGACCCCTCACTGTCGATTGCTTCGTAGAGGTCCTTTTTATTCTCTGCTGTTGCATGCAAATAGCCAAGGTAGGCCACACAGAGGCTAATTGCTACCAGTCCAAATGCCATCACAGGTTTGTTCTGACAAGAAAAAAATGTGGTAAATGCTTTTAGTCAAAACATTTTTCATTAAACTCAAACATTACATTCGTCTATGTCAGCTTAGAAACTGAACAGTAAACTATTGTGACATCTGCAAAAAATCATCACTGCCTTCTTGCAGACTGAATTTTCTGACAGCAAAAGGAATTCCCTTTAAAAAGAAGATTCTTTCTGGAGACAGAGCAGCACATTGCTCAGTACTCTCTATTTTGCTGGTTGGAAATGCTGACTGAGTATAAATGAACCAGACAAAACCAATTACTGAAGGTCTCCACTACAAACTTTTAACAGAATTCATCTGGATATTCTACTGGGACAATGCACTCTGGTCCTGCTTGATTACAATCCTCTAAACCACACTTTGTATTCTTATCACAAAATCTACTTTTATTAAATCTATACATATTATATGCACAAAATTTCACTCATTTCTGGGTTCTGCAAATGCAGATAAAACCCAAGTATCATCAACTTAATTATAAAAGGAAAACCTAAAATATTGAAAAACTACCAAAAATCAATTCACTTCATACCAAAAAAGTTTGCATTCTATGATTTGTTCCCTTTTAAATATTAAAAGCAACTCCAGTTGTTTTTATTACTTAATAATAATATTATTTAGCCTGTCAAATTACATGGGTAATATACCTCGAAACAGGTCTTTCTGAAAGCAACTTTGCTAGGTACAAAAGAATCAGACAATATAGCAATGAAATAAAAGCTGCAACAAGCAATGCAATGTTCTGCACTCTCCACAGTCAAGAGTGGAAAAAAGTAAAAATATTTTAGCTACATTTCTGAGTGGTTTGCATAACAAGAGATGGTTATATAATGCCCAGAGAATTGTAATGATCACTTTAAAGCAACTGTATCTCTTCAAGCATATTTAGTTTCTCTCAGAACAACTGTCTTACAGGCTTAATGAAAAGCTCTGGGTTCACAGCTCGGAAAAGCATAGTTGTCTGAACACTCCTCAGTCCTGGTTTTCTCTCTGTGGGTGTTTCATTTTCATTTGGAGGTTTGGTGGAAGGCATGTTGCTTAATGTTGAATATTTCCTAGAAGTAGAATGAAAAACAGGTGTCATTTCTGTAAAAAACCTGGAAGAGCTGCATTCACTGAATGCAAATTCACACTCAGTTTGTCTTACAGCATTAATTTTAGCTGGTGTAAATATTACTGATCACCTCTGGTGTCACCTAACATTCCCAGCTTGGACATACTAATTTTTGGTCTTACTTTTGTGCATCCTAAAATTAACCTTAGGAGATTCACATCTTCATACAGCAAATCTAAATATCCTGATAAGGGGCTTAGGGTTTTTCACGTGTCTTTGACTAATGCTTTAGCTACCTGTGGACCAAACAGCATCAGTCTTCAGACCACTGGCTAAAAAGACAATAGTAGGAAAAAATCTTCTACAAAACAACCTTCTACACAACAGGCCAGCCCAAGCACCACTGTAGTGCAGTCACTTTAGCCACCCACCCCAGCAGGCCCAGCACTCAGGTCTCACTATTGCATTCACAGGGCAAATGCCTTGGGCTCAAAATGAAAGAAGGGAAGTTTCAGCTACTTAGCATATGCAAGAAATTCTTTATTCTGGCGGTGGTGAGGCACTGGAACAGGTTGCCCGGAGAAGCTGTGGATGCCCCATTCCTGCAAGTGTTCAAGGCCAGGCCGGATGGGGCTTATGAGCACCCTGATCTTGTGGAAGGCGTCCGTGTCCCTGGCAGGGGCGTTGGAACGAGATGATTTTTAACCCAAAGATGATTTTTTTTTCCAACCCAAACCATTCTATGACCACCTGAGCAAAGGTGGAAAAACACGGTCCTGGCTACCCCTGATTACGGAGGGGCAGGGGAGACACGGGTACTGGGGATCCCCTAGGAAAGGAAGGGCAGTGCAAGGGCAGTCGCACAACCCCATTCCGGGCGGAGAAGGGGCTCCAGGCACCGCCACCGGGTCGAAGGGGGCAGTCTGGCCCCAGTTTGGGAGAGCCCAGTGGGAACTCCCGGGACACCGGGGATCTCCCCCCGATCCACCGCCTCACGGAACGGCGC